ACACGGCATTCAAAGAAATGATGATTTCTCTGTAGACTAACTCTCAAGAGACAGTGTGTGTGTGTGTGTGTGTGTGTGTGTGTACACCAGTTTATGCAGTTGTGTGCTCATGTGTGTAGTAGCCTGAGGTTGACATTGGGTGACCCATTTGAGTGGCTGCCCAGGGAGTCCCACAACACAGGGATTATAGACACCTGTGGTCATACCACTCTTGACACTCATGCTGTGGTCAAACTCAAAACCAACCCCTTAACCAGCAAGGGAGCCATCTCTCCCAACCAGGGTTTTCTCTCTAAGAGAATGTCAACTTGGAAATAAGCCGAGGGAAACATCTAAACAAGCATCCCATAAACAGCCACACCCCCCAAGAACACGAAAAAGAAAGAATAAAGAAGGACACATGATTCAAATTTAAAAGGCAACACTAAGTATGTCCATGATACGACCAACAAAACGAAGAGCAAATCTTCAATGAAGTAGAGATTATCAAAGGACAGTTTTTAAACTTGTAGGGGAAAGATAAGCTTGGGGCAGCTTGGTGGCAGAGGGTGTGCCCAGCACACACTCAGCCCTTGGACTGACTCCCAGCACCATTCAGAACACAACCTTCATCATGAGGCCAGCACTTGTGCCGCCGTGGGGTTCGCCGTGGGTTCCATACCAGCCGTTCGCTGGGGTTCCATACCAGCACCAAGTAAGTGAAACCAAAAAAACCCTAATACCGAATTCATCGAAATCAGAAACAAAACAAACAACAACAACAAGAAGAAAGCAAAGATGAAAAATACACCATAACAACCCAGAAAGAAGCTGGTGTAGCCATGATAAAACTTCAAGGCAAAATAATTTAGTGGTAATGAGGTTTGATGAGGATGATGGCCATTGATGAGAGGATATAGCAATCTAGAAAACTAGGAACAATCCATCAGCTGGAGACTTAAACACACTCGTCTCAGAACCCAGAGAGCAGCCAAAGATGGCGGTGCGTCTTTAAGGATGTGACATATTTGAACTACACGTCCAACAGTAAAAGGTTCCTCCACAATAAAGCCTGTGCTGCGACAGTGGAGTCAACAGTTTCAAACATGGACATTATACATCCACTCTGGGATACAGTGGAGCTGGGTGGAGCTGTGGGCAGACAGCAGCTAAGCAATGGCAGCTGCTCACAAAGCAAGCCTTGGAACTGTGAACAAGCCACAGGTCAGAGAGAAAACTGAAAAAAGGCCAGGTGGTGGTGGTGCACACCTTGAATCTTAGCACTCAGGAGGCAGAGGAAGTTGGATCTCTGTGAGTTCGAGGCCACCCTGGTCTACCAAGTGAGTTCCAGGACAACAGGGGCTGCTTAGAGAAACCCTGTCTTAAAAAACTAAAAACAAAACAGACAGGACTGAGGATATAGCTCAGTAGTAGGACATTTGCATAGCAAGAATGAAGCCTATTCTTTGTGTGTGTGTGTGTGTGTGTGTGTGTGAGAGAGAGAGAGAGAGAGAGAGAGAGAGAGAGAGAGAGAGAGAGAGAGAGAGAGGAGAGAGAAGAAGGAGAGAAAAGGGAAGGAAATGACATCATGGCATTCGGCTAAGCTGTGCTTAGAGGAAAAATCTATATAACTTTAAATGTATATCTTAGAAAAGGCTGGTAATCAATTATCTACCCCCAAAACTGAGAAAGTCAACACATGAAATCCAAAGGAAGAAGGGAATAAACGTGGGGGTAGAAATAAAGGCAACAGAGAGGGGTAAATTGAGAGATGTCATAAAGATTTGACAAAAAGTAAATAAAGGGAGAGTCTGATCATAATGAGTTCCCATTGCTGAGATAAACACCGTGATCAAAAGCAGCTTGGGGAGGAAAGTGTCCATGTGGCCTTCAGCCTGGAGGCCACTCCTGAGGGGAGCCTGGGCAGGAACTTGCAGGCAGGAACTGGAGGCTAGGAAAAGCCTTGGGGCAGCATTGCTCACTGCCTGGCTCGTTCCCTGTGGCAGGCTCAGCCTGCTTCCTTAGACACCCAGAGGCATGTGCCCAGGAGTGTAATCACCCACAGTGAGCTGGGCCCTGGAACATCAGTCACTAAGAAAACGCCCTATAGGCTTGCCTGCAGGCCAACCTTATGGAAGAATTTTCTCAACCTCAATTCGCTCTTCTCAGATAATTCAAGCTTGTGTCAAGTTGACATAAAACTAGCCAGGACACACAAATGTTAAGACATAAACGATATACATTCCTTAAAAAAAAAGAAAGAAAGAAAAAAATCAGTTTGTTAGCCAGGCATTGGTGGCTCAGGCCTTTAATCCCAGCACTCAGGAGGCAGAGGCAGGTGGATCTCTTTGAGTTCGAGGCCAGCCTGGTCTAAAAAGTGAGTTCCAGGACAGGCAGGTTCTAAAGCAATACAGAGAAACCCTGTCTCAAAAAAACCAAAAAAAGAAAAGAAAAGAAAAAAAGCAATATGTTTGGGGCTGAGGAGATGGCTCAGCAGTTAAGAGCACTGGCTGCTCTTCCAGAAGACAGACACGATGTAGCTCCCGGGAAGGTGGGTGCTCAGACATTCTTTTGTAGGATAAGATCATGTGGAGACATACATATTAATAGTTATAAGCTAATAATAAACAGAGAGCTAGCCAGTAAGAAGCCTAAGCCATTGGCTAAGCAATTATAAATATACAGCTATGGGATCTGGTGGGTGGAGACAAAAACTGGACCCAGACTAGAGGGGGAAATCTCCACTTTACAGATGGCTGATGGGATAAGGCCCTTGCTCCACCCCTGAGACCCACCTGGAGAAAGTTTACTCTTGCAAACTGTTCTCAGACCTCCACCTGTGTGCCATAGTGTGCATGACCTAACCCCCAGCTACTTACACACACAATAAATAAGTACTGAAGAAGTTCAAGTCATCCAAAGAGAATGAAGAGAATGGAGAGTGGGGAGAAGGTTCAGCCAATGAAATGCTTGCCTTGCAAGCATGAAGACAAGTTTGAGTCCCAGAACCCATGGGACTCTCTAGGGCCTGCTGACCAATCAGCCTAGCCTACTCAGACAAGGTCAATGAGAGACCCTGCCTCAAAAAACAGGGTAGATAGCTCCTTCAAAGCACCAGAGGTTGACTTCTGGCCTGCAAGCATATCCGTGTGCACCCACAAACATGCAGATGTACATGCACAGACATGTGCACACACACAGCGTGGGAAGGCAAGCCACAAATGGAGAGAAGGCATTTATACTATGTTTACACCTGGTGAACCCCCTTAGATATGGTGTAGGAAGACAACATGTGATGGCAACATGCTCTTGTGTGAACAGCTAGGATGAAAGGCATGGGTATAACACAGGCTGGCAGGGAAGCGAGCCACTGGAAGGAAGCTTCTGCCACATCTGGGAGTCTCCATCAGCTCATCTACTTTAGAAGGCTGCACAGCATTATCTGTTAAGGCTAAATAGACATTTGTCCCATGACAAACCAGGCAGAGATGAGTGCCTGAGTCCACCAAAGACACAGGGTTGTGCAGAGCACCAATCTTCCTAAAAAATGGAAGAGGCAGGCACAGTTCCAAACTCAAAGCCATCACACCAAGCACCAAAACCAGGCAGAGACACCATAAGAAAAAGAAGCCCTCCTGGAATCCAGTTGCAGAGAGGGAGGAGTCATGAGCAAAGGGGTCAAGACCAGGCTATAGAATACCCCAGAGACAGCTGACCCAAACAAGGGGGGGGGGCGCTCACAGACCCCAGACTGATAGCTGGAAAACCAGCATAGGAATGACCCAGAAGAATGTCAATTAGGTCTATGGGGCCGCTCAGTATTTATCCCTAGTATACAAATGGACTTTGGGAGCCCATTCCACATAGAGGGATACTCTCTCAGCCTAGACACATGGGGGGGGGGAGGGCCTAGGCCCTGCTCCAAATGATATGACAGACTTTGAAGATCCCCCATGGAAGGCCTCACCCTCCCTGGGGAGCAGAAAGGGGATGGGACAGGGGGTCATTGGGGGCAGGGGAGGGAGAGGGAACTGGGACTGACATGCAAAACAAGCTTTATTCTAATTTAAATTTAAAAAAAGAAAAAGAAACTTATAGACCAGCATCTCTTGTGAGTACTGTTGCAAAGACACTCAACAAAATACTGGCAAATAGAATACAGAGATCTGAAGATTGCAAAATGCAATGACCAACCAAGCTGGATCAACTATTTGAGTGCAAAGATCAATATAATTAATATACCACATAACAGAACAGAAGAAAAAAAACCATATGATCATATTAGCTGACACAGAAGAAAACACTTGATGAAATTAAACACTTTAGGATTAAAAAAAAAAATCACCCAAAGGATTAGGAATCAGCGGAAACTACCTCAGCATAATAAAAAGCACACATTTAAGGAGGGTCCTAGGGGCTGGAAGTGGGTGGTCCCAGCTTAGGCTTAGAAAAAACTGAGCTCAAACTGCATCACACCCAAAGGAGAAAGCTACTTGTGATTGGTAAGTGTGCACCCCCTTTTAGTTCTGATGGTGACCATACAAGTCCTTAACTCTAAGACACTCAGGAGGCCAGTCACAGCCAGAGGAGAGGAGTAAAGATGGGGATTCACATCCAACTCTAGTTCCTAGTTGATGTCCAGAAGACATTTCCACTTTCCATTAGCAAGGGCACTTGTTTTAAAGCCATAAACCTATAACCCAGCTACATTTACATTGGGTACAGACCCCTTCAGGGTCTGGATTTGCACAATGCCAGCATCACTCTGATGGGATCTCTGGGGAACCAGGCTAGAAGGTTGACTGTGGAAGCAGATGTGTAAAGAACAAACAAGGTTTATTCTGACTCAGATTTCCATGCCCACACGACTGGATTCCACTCTCTCTGCAGAACATTCCTGGTTGACACTTGTCTTATTCCAGATGGTTTGCCCTAGCCTAGCAGACCAGAAATGCTCCCAAACCCATCAGGCCCTGGACCTCATGCGGGAAGTCATAGAGGAAAGAGATTCAAGCACTTACTTTCATCATTAGACACATTCCCCAGAGATGTGTGGCTGGAATAGCGTTTGTTCTCGCTTTCATTGAGACATCTTTCAATCCAGCTCTCTACAGAAGAAAAAAAATAAGTATCAATCAATCAATCAATCAATCACAGAATTGCTGTTTGTAGGAGACAGGGGCATAACATGACCATGAACATGGTCATGCCTACAGGTCAGCCTGGACCAGAAGTGGACTATCAGTGTATACTCTGTGTATACAACTGCTACTAAATTTGTCAGGTAGCTTGGAGGCAACATGGCCATTTGAAGGCCCTCTTGAAGATTTCTTGATCAAAATCTACTAATTTTGGAACATTCGAAGCCCAGTACTACCAACCAAGAATCATCTTTCTTTATAAACAACACACATTCCTGAGAAGTGGCTTGTAAACCATAGTTTGATCACCTGGTCATGCTTTGCAAACTTACCTGTGAATTGGAGAGTCTTCTCTTCAAATACAAACAAAACCCCAGGTGATCTGGTTGAAGTGGAGGATGGTAGAGAACCTGGCAGTCACCTTCATTAGTTAGGTGATCCCCAAAGGGGACTCTTCCAAGTATAATGAGAGGAGAGATCTATGATGCACTTTTAAAATCTAAAGGACTATGGCTTTCTATCCAATTCCAAAAGTTAATTAAGGGTCTACTTTTCATAATATAGCATAATGCTCATTCCATTTTCTAGGGCACCCACTACTCAATCATTCAAGAACATCAGCTACAATCAGCTGCCTTCTTTGAACACAACAACGTTCAAATGATACAATATACAAATTGTATCCGATACAATTGATACAAATGATAGCAGAGGAAGAGTTAAGAATTAGCATGGGGCCACACTGTTTCCATGGGCTCATGAAGGAAGGAAGCTGCAAACAGATGAGCAGAGTCCAGAAGAATAAGAAAAAGCTCTCACCTCAAACATCCACCAGCTATGTCAGGATTCTCAAAGCAAGTCCCTTCTGCCTATGCGACCACCTTATGCCACGTACAATAACTCACAGCAAGTCAGTCTTCCCTCCAAAGTAATCATCAGACCTCTGCATTTGCACATTCTTAGTGATCCAGCTTGTGTCAACTGTGCTACTTGTGTCCAGCTGTGCTACTGTTTTTATTATAATTCTGCTATGTATCAGTGACTATTTCTGAGCCTTGTATCCATAAACGTAATTTCCCCCAGAGAATTCTGTATTCTTTATTGTGTGATTTTACAGAATGTGGCCATTCTTGGGAATGCATATGTGACCCTAGGCCAGGACTGGCTGCAGTCATGGCATGTGGTTTTAAATATTCTTGCTGCTTTCTTTGCCTTCTTTTCCTTTCTGTTGAGATAGTGTCAAAATGCAGCCCGTTTCATCCTTGGGGTCACTAGGTAATTCATTCTGGTGATGCTCCTGCCTCAGCATCTCTTGCTAGGATTGCAGACACAACCCGCCACACCTGGCCCTCATTGCCTTCATCATGTGGGAGCTGGCATGCCCTACCTTACTGAGTCCTTTCTGTTACCCAATTCTCAAAACCACGCCCAAGCAAGGATTTTGGTCTCTGATTTTCCTGGTAAGCAGCTAGGCCTCAGAGCAAGGCTCACTAATGTCAACCCTTGTACTTCAAAGCTGAGGAAACTCTTTAGTGAGAGCCTTAGGTTCCAAGCTGCATGAGGAAGCTGGGCAGGTGAGCTCATCCCACAAAGTGAAAACCATGTGAGAGCTGGCAGCAGGAAGAGGTACGGAGTTTGTTCTGTTTGTGATGATGACATGACCGACTGTTCTTTTAAAAGCTGCTTCCAAAATTACAAACAAGTTGGAGAAAGACATCCAGAGTGAGGAACAAAGGGCAGTCTGTTGAGAGGAGATGGAAATTTGGTGTTTCCGAGCAGAAGCTGAGGTCACGGGACACAAGGCTCAAAGGCACTGCAGAGAAGCCAGAAGCTTGGGACATTTCAAAGCTGGGGTGTGCAAGGTGGGTGTTTGCTAAACATTATATCCCAAAACAAAGGGTCTCCAGAGCCCTTTCCAGCCTTCTCCCATAACTTTACTACTGAGATTTCCTTACTTGTAGCCCTGACACAGTTCCCTAGCAGCATCCATAGCTGACCATGATGGCACCTCCCCATCAAACTATCACAGGTGCTGTCCAGAGCTGGGATAAGGCTCCGCAAGCCAAGCACTGGGGCCTGAGCTCAGTGAGGCAGCACTGGCTTATAATCCTGGCACTGGGGAGGCAGAGATGGCAGATCTCTGGGACTTGCTGACAAGCCAGCCTCATTAACTCTGTGACAGTTAAGACAGTGACACCCTATCTCAAAAACTAGACAGTGCCTGAGTGGTGGCACTTGAAGATGTCCTCTGCTCTCTGTAGGAATGTATACATGCACACACACACTCTCTCACAGACATACACACTCACACATACACATACCCTCATACATATACACACACACACTGACACACACACACACACATACATACACACGCCTACACACTCTCTCTCACACACTTTCACACACACACTTACACACGCCTACACACACTCTCACACACACACTTTCACACACACATACATACACACGCCTACACACTCTCTCTCACACACACTTTCACACACACACTTACACACGCCTACACACACTCTCACACACACACTTTCACACACACATACATACACACGCCTACACACACTCTCACACACACACTTTCACACACACATACATACACACGCCTACACACACTCTCACACACACACACTTTCACACACACATACATACACACGCCTACACACACTCTCTCACACTTTCACACACACATACACACGCCTACACACACTCTCTCACACACACACTTTCACACACACACACACACAGAGCAGTGCTACTGTTCTGGGCCCACCCCCGATCCTCAGGTAAAAACACACACTACATGGCTACTATCACATGAACAGAGACACACACCCACTCACACATATGTCCTTCCTTGTCCCTTCCATGAGACTAGGAAGCAAGGGAGAGTCTTGCTGTCACTTACTGGATTATACCCAAGTCAGTTGATGTTAGAAGGCACTGGTCCAGCCGCAAGAACCCCCTGCAATAGGAGGCGTCTTGGAAAGCTAGGCAGCAAAGAGAGGAGCGTGTCCTCTATACCTGGTGGACCAGAATGGCACAGACCCTGGCCACCACGTCGCAAGTCAGGCAAAAAAATTGTCCTGTTTTGTTCTCCTAATGTGGCTCAGTTTCAGCGCCAGAAATGGATGAAAGCCCAGGACAGGGGACCGTAAAAGGGGACACGAAAAGGGAGATGTAAGATACACGTCATCAAGTTTCTGCCTACTGTTGCACACGCACAGCTCCCTCTGCCTCCAAGGCATAGTGTGACTGTGCCGGGCTGTTCTCTACCCCCTCTGTTCCACTCAAAACAAGTTCAGCCTCTCTGACGCTTTTTTCTGGTTCTCGCCCCTCACTTATTACAGTTGTCTCGTGGAGGAAATACCTCTCCCGCTTTGTTGTTATCCAAGGTCCAAAACATCTTCTAGTCAAGCAGTATCCTTGTGAACAGCCAGCAAATAGAGTCAACTCGATGGGTCCAGACTGTGGGATGAACACTTGGAGAGCCTGCTTCCAAGATGCTTGTAGTCCATACTGGGTGGATGGGACAGCTTGGAACTTGTCATTCTCAACCTGAATGATGTACATTTCAATGAGGCCCTGTGTTTATCTACCTGTGTAGCATATGTGATTCAGCAACAAAGACCAGCCAGCGCTGAATGTCTGTGATGTACTCCACACTGTTCGAGTCCGCGTTATGGACTGTCGTGACAGCCCTGGGAGGCAGTGCTGTGAAGGGGCATGTTTTCAGGCTGGGGAGACAGTTCCGAGGGTGAAGCGCTTTGCTGAGAAAACATGGGGCCCTAAGTTCAGATTCCTAACACCCACATAAGAAGTTGGGTGTGATGGCATGCCTGTCATCCCAGTGCTAGTGTCCAAAGGAAGGAAGAGCTCTGAGGCCAAATCAGTGAGCTCCAGGTTTAATGACAGACACTATGTCAAAAGCTAAGGGTGGGAACCTCTGGCACCCACATCCACACTCCATCCCCAGAAAGGAAGGGGGCAGAGAGAGAAGAAAAAGCTAAAACTTAGAGAGGTTAGATTTGCCAACGCCGTCGAGCTGGTGGAGCTCAGGGCCAGCATCCTCAGTAGTTCAAGCGTGGGCTCAGCCTCTCTCTCTCTTGCATCCCACATGGCACCCACTCAAGCACAACCTGATTTGTGTCAGAACTTTCGCTAACGCTCTACCTACACACGACAATTTTTGCTAAATCTGCTTGCCTGTTTCTTTGTCAGCTTTTGTCACGTGTGGCAAGGGCTTCCGTTCAGAGCTTAAACACCTCAGGAATGGCACGCACTTGGTTCTTTCTGCAGACTCTCTTTTGGAATCAAGCCCAGCCTCGCCTCAATACATGCTACATTGCTGCCATAAGATGTCAAAGGATGTGTAGCTTTAAGTAGATCTGTCCACACAGCTGCAGGATTCCCTAACCTTCTTCATCTTAAAGGATACGAAAAGCACAGCACATCAAAGGCCAAAGCATCTCTTTGGTTCCTTTTTGATGTAAAAAGCTGTAAGAAGCCATGAGTAACAAAAACATGAGTAAGACTGGCTTTTAGCTTCTGCGAGCATCTAAAAGCAAGGCAGATGTTATCTCCTGGACTCTTGAGGGGAGGACCCTTTAATTTCTATTCTCCATCTTTTTAAAAAAAAAATCTTTAGATTTATTTTATTGTATGAATGTTTTCCCTGTGCATATGTATCACGTGTGTGCCTGGTGCCCTCAGTAGTCATATCTGGTGGGAATAGAGTTACTGATGGTTGTGAACCACCATATGTGTGCTGGGAACCAAACCCAGGTCCTCTGAAAGATCAGCAAGTGCTCTTAACTGTTGGTCCATCTCTTCAAGTCTCCTCTCTTTTTTTGGACAAGGTCTCATGATGTAGCTCATGCTGGCCTCTGTTGTTCAGTCCTCCTGCCTTCCATCAGCTGGATTCCAGGCACATACCACCACTTCTAGCTTCT